AGGTGCCAAGTACATGCAAGTTAATGGGAGTTACAGGTGCTCAACATTTCGGGGGAGGGGAAGAAGCCTCTTTGATTCAGGTGCCTAACTGTGGATTGAATTGCCTAAGGGTAGGCTTCAAAAAATGAATATAGCCCCCATTGTTGATATTCGGAGCGACAACTTGCTGAGGGGAAGACCTGAGTCAGAGGTGCATGGGTATGTATTTCCGTTTCAAGAAAAAGCGTCAAGCCATGCGGATGAAAAGCACTTCTCCATTAGCTGTTTGATCCAGCTCCATCTTTCTGTGGTGAGCCTGGATACTTTTCAGAACTGAAAATCCGTGGACTCAGAACGGCTGCCAAAAAAAAAAAAAAAAATCGGGTTGAATTGCACCCGGGTCAAGTCAGACGCCTTTAAAACTTTCCAGCTGGGTGGGAGTTAAGTGGTGAGGGCAGTAGATGGGTATCTGTGTTAATGGTTTCTATTTACAACCTGTGGGAGAGACTCTGATACTCAGACTGAGTCACGCATCCCTCATTAGGGACTAGACTGCAGTCCCGTGGAGAGAACAGGATTGGGACTCGGGAAACCGTCTAGTCTCTCCTCTGCCACTGACGGTCTGGGTGACCTTTGGCGACTCACTTGCTCTTCCGGTGCCTCTGTTTCCCCTCCCTCTAGTAAATTGTAGAAAGCTTAGGGGCATGTGTTTGTGTAGTGCCCAGTACAATGGAGTCCGTAGGTAGAACTAGAATAGTGATCATATTTAATCATTGTGCAACCCTTACACTCATTGGTGAGCGCATCCTCAGAACATGAATTATTCCCTTCGGTTGGACCTCAATGGGACTGCTCACCAATACGAGTAAGGGGAGCCCAATTTGCCCGTGAATTTAACAACACTCCTTGGTTTCAATGCGATTTACACTTGCAGAAAAGGGTCCTATGATCTTGTTTCTGTTGAAACTAGACCTGCAATAAGGATATTTCCTTTGGGGGCGGGGGGAGGGATAATAATGGATCCATCTAGAATTGCGAGACAGATTCAACAGGGATCACTTGCCCTATCACATCGTTACTTTAAAGAGTTTGTTTAGCTCAGCTATAATCTCCTTTTATATTTTCATGGTCTTGTAGGAAAGTACCAAAGAGAGGAAAAAGCAAACGGTTGGGTTGGTCATAACGGCGCATGACATGAAAACGGCGCAGCTGTGCAAAGAGATGTAATGGCTATTGACTGCTAAGGAGCGCACAGGGCTTACAGCTATTGGAGCCGTGGGCAAACCCTGCTGGTTTATTCCTGTGTGACCGTGGCACAGTCGAGGGGGAAAATGGAGATGCCGGACACTCCCGATGCAATTTAAAACCACGCGGCGTTGTGTCCAGGATTGCAAGCAGATGTAACAGCAGAGATTGGTATTGGGGCGCATACAAAAATAGATGTATAATGATATGGATATTTGAAGACAGGTTCCATGCAAACTAAATAACACGAGAGAAGTGATCTGCTCCTGTGAGATTTTTCTAGGCTTTGTTCAGATTCTGGTATCAACAGTTTAGAGGAAGTTTGGGATAATTTTCCCAAGATAAGGTAATGGGCGGGCCTTGTTCCACCGCCTCCTGGGATGCGCAGTTTAGTCCGTATTTTGTTTCCAGGGGCATTGTCCCCTGGTCCTTCCCATGACCATATTCGCTAGCTCAATATCTTCAGGGCCTCAAGTAGCTCTTTAGCAAACATATGCCCAGACTAGATCAGCACCAGATAAATATTACTTTAGCATCATTACAACACGTGTGAGCGCATACCATTTGCATATTTCGAGATTAATAATCGCTAGTCAGTTGCAGTGTTTTGACAACGATCAGGGGTAGAATTTGCTTAATAGATGCCCTCCAGTTGCAGAGAACAGAAGGGTAAGGTTTAAAAAAAAACACATTCTCCGTTTGTTTGACATTTTGAAGAAGGTAAAGAATGGCTGAACTAATGATGAAGTCTTACAGTCATTCAATAACTTGGATTTTATTGAATATTGCCCTTCTTTCCTCCGACATTTCAGTCTTGCTAATTAGGACCAATGAGAAGGGTGGTTGTGAACGAGGATAATAACTGGCGAGGGCCCATTTATTAAGTCACTTTCCGCGGGTGTAGAATTGATTTGTGACGGTGACTGGCATGTTTTCTAGACCTGCAGCAACTTTGAGAAGTCATTATGGTCTGCACAAGGGCCATTGTTAGAGATTTGTATTGATAAGGTGTCAGTATTTAGATTGGCGAGCGTGTAGAGCTCCGTTCTCTCCTCCTCGGCCCTGCATCACCTCCTCCCTGGTATATGTTGGCAAGAACACAGCCATCACCACAAAAACGTCACCCTGGGGAGAGACCGCCTGCCCAACACAAGATGTCCCTTATTCTCTCCTCCTCCCAAAGGGGGTGGGGGGAATCCGCTGAATGATTGAGTTGCTTGGAGATCGCCCGTTGCATGAGGAGCAACCTTCTCTGGAGAGGCAAATGGGGAAGGACACATACAAGATCCAGAGAAACGTGTTACCTCCTGCACTGAAAATGGCTGAACTAATGGGGGAAAGCGTGTGTGTGTGTTTGCCTGCGCAAAAAATGCTTTTAGTATTTTTGTAGATAGAGAACGTTACTCTATATGTTGGATGTATCCATTTTTACTCACTATCTTCAGCTGATATTGACTAGGTATAACCAATTCCTTAATATTCCCCTGCAAGATTGTATGCAGGACTTGGGGGGGGGAAGAGAGATGTGAGGCGTTGGAACAAATGGCCCTTTGATAAACAGCGTCTGGCAGTGCCAGCCCTGTATTTGAGTGTGTTCCAGAAACTAGAGATATTAAATAAACTTAAAGATAATGAATAGCCTTCTGTGGTACTTTGGAAAGGCGCGTTCTATCGGGACTTCAGGACTTTCAGAGCGGACAAGAGTGGTTAGTAAAAGGGGAAACGGTTGACTTCTAGCAGAGGAAGCTCATGGCATTAATAGTAGGGTCGGTGTTTTTATTGATATGCATTTGTTGAGTAAGAGGTAGTCAATTATTTGAATTGCAATATATTTCGATTTCAACGTAAACATTTTCAGTCCCGCAGTAACATAATACAGGAGCAGCGTTTTCATTTTAAAATATATCTGAGCATTTGTTCTGAAAAAGCGAAGTGCTATCAGCATTAAGACTAAAACGTGTAGACTGGAAAGCAGAATTCCCGGCTGTAATTGACAGAAATGTCTGGGATTTTCCAACAGCAATTTCAAAACGTGTGTCTTTCTTACCCAACTGTTTTAAGGTTGGCTAAATTTGAAGTTCTTAACCAACCCCCCCCCCCCCCAAAAAAAAGCAATGGGAGATGACAATGATATGTCTTACTGCACCTTTCTGATATGTGAATTCTAGTAGTAAAATGAAGGCCGGGCAAAATCTTAAATCTTCATCGAGAAGAGACAGATCCTGTGGGGTAGAATGTTCTCTCTTTGTTGTACCAGAGAATGTGTGTGTGTGTGTGTGTGTGTGTGTGTGAGAGAGTGAAAATCCACCCTCCTCTATAGTACAACTGCGTCGACAGAAGGGATTATTTACCTCCCTAGACTCCCACCCTCCCTTAGCCCCTAAGAAATTGCACAGTATAAATATAGCTTCTATCATGGCGGCCTGTTTTCCTTGTCTGGCCACAGATTCCTGCGCCATTTTAAGCAGCCAGGGAAGAAAGAAGAGCCCCCTTTTATTCCCCCCCCCCCCCCCCCCCCCCCCCCCCCCCCCGCCCCCAGTCTTCTGGGTTTCAATGCTGCTTTCACACAAACTCGACTTGAACGCCTACCAAATTTCTGCCGTGTCTGGGGAAACACCAATGACTTAGCAAAGACGTAATATGATTTATTTTTTGTGTCACAGCGATTGATTCCTTCGCTGACCCCTTTTCATTCATAACAAGCCCCCACCCTCTTTTGATATATGAGTTTTGTGTTTAAAATTACATGTTGGACGAAAGCTTTCCTAAAAGGACGCGCGAGCCAGGACAGAGCAGCACAAATTGCTATGGAAATCATCCCAGATTTATTAGTCCTGTTTTTTTTTCTGGCGTGTTTCCCCTCCCCCCGCTTAACTCCCCCACTTTTAAATGTAATGTCTCCCCTCTTCTTTCCTTTATACCATTTAACTATATGGTAGTCAGGATGCACCCATGGAGTAATTCTTGAATCTAGACGTATTTATTCTTTTTTCCCCCCCCTTGTGTAGCATGGGGCATTTTTAATTGGTAATTTTTTGCTTCAGGGGATGAGAAATGGAGGATTGGAAAAGTCAAGAAGCTGCCTTTTGTCTTTCTGGATTGTCATTTGCTGTGGTGTTAACACTCACGGGAGCCGGGAAATATTTATAGCAAACTTCCAAACAGCAAACGTTTCTAATCAGAGTGCGCCGAACGCATGTGTTCTCAGGACTGAGGGGTGTTCTTGAAAGTATTGTGTAGCGCTGAGATTTTAAACTTTGGGATCTTTGAATTTATATTTTACTTCAGTCGATTTTTATCTAACAATATTTTTGCTAGAAGAGTAGGAATGGGATGTTTAAAGAATGAATATGTTAAAATTCGAAGCGAATGTCTTGCTTTGCTTTATTCTTTGAACAAAAAAACCAGCGCAGGGAAATCGAACAAGGAAGTTTAATCAATACAGTATTCCTGATTGAGACCTGCTTTCTATGAAAAAAAAAATGTTATTTATGAGATCACATTTCTTCTTTTAAGCCTCCCAGTCTACGCAAGAGAATAAAAAACAGCAGATAGTCGCAAAGAAAGAAAGCGAAGGTTCAGGGGGGAAACGAACAAGGTTCTTAAAGACGAGATATAAAAATGGTAACACAGTGTTTTAATTTTATAAAGACATTTATTTAATCTATGAAAATAATGTACAATAAATAATTTGCCATTTACTATTAAAGGATTTGAATAAATAGTCTACATCTAAAACTTAAAAAAGAGGAAACAAAATTCCTCCGGGTTTTTTTTTATTATTATTTATTTTTATTAAGAAATCTAAAAGTTTCGCTCGGATTCCTGAGAAAGTCACTTGAAGGATTTACAAATGTTTTCTCTCGTGTGTGTGTGTGTGTGTGTGTGAGGGGTGAAGTGGGGAGTTGTTTATTTCTTTTAAATAAATAAGAGAATAAAAGTGTAATTAAATACCTGAATTTAGTAAACACAGAGGATTCTTTTATTTTGGAGACTATCGGAATAACTATTTAAAGGATGGGCCATTCTTATGATCTAGCTTCCACATTAGAACGAATTTTAAAGGGGGCGGGGGCGAGTGGAGACGGGGTATGAGACCGTACATGGCTACATGATAGAAATAGTCTGGTGTCCAGTGGGGAGCTGGTGGAGGTTCGTGTGAAAGGGGCGACACGGCCAAGGCAGAGAGACCTGGGTGGGACTGTTATTGGAAATTCAGATGCTGCAGGTCTATAGTACACAGTGTGCTTGTAAAAAAGTCCAGGTCTTCCTCCGAGAAGTGGACGGGGCTCTGCAGGGAGCCCTGGAGGCCGGAATCTGTGGCGAAGATGCTCAGATCTGGCAACAAAGGAGACTCCTGCCTCTCCGGGAAGGCATTGTCCACGCTGCCCGCTGCCCCACTCGGCTCCATTATGGACCCCGGCTCTGCGGTGGGCGTTGGGTAGCCGGGGCTCTGGGGCTCTGCGGGCAGCTGCTGGGTTTTGGTTTGAAAAGGGCAGGGGGTCTCCAGGGCTTGGCCAAACGGGGAGTTCTCCTCCGCCTCGTCGTTGCCTTCTTCCAGGTTGGGGTAGCCGAGGTCCCCGTCTGAGGGGTCTTGGTGCTGGGTCTGCCGCTTGTGTTTCATCCGGCGGTTCTGAAACCACACCTTGACCTGCCTTTCGGTCAGGTCCAGCAGGGCCGCGATCTCCACCCGACGGGGCCTGCACAGGTATTTGTTGAAGTGGAATTCCTTCTCCAGCTCCAGGAGTTGGGTGTTGGTGTAAGCAGTCCGGAGCCGCCGGGAGCCGCCCGCGCTGGTCTCTGGGAGCCCCTGGGTGTCTTCACAACACACACACAACCGCCCATTTAAAAAGGGACGAGGGGGGAAAAAGAGAGAGAGAGAGAGAGAGGGTTGGAACAACCATCGTGATGAATGAGCTACATCCATTAGCTTCCCAGTCCAGGGCAGGGCAGAACGGTGCCAGAGAAAACAGAATTTACCATCCTCCCAAATCACCCTCATGGTCCCTTCCCCTACCCTAAAGAAAACGTTTCACTCCCCCAATCCCCCCATCCCAAGGGAAAAAATATCCCTGTCCTCCCTGCCCCCAATGGAAGGGGGGAATTTCTTCCCCCTTGTACATTTGTTGCCAACAGTTTGGAAACTCCAAACCTTTTTTTTTGGGGGGGGGGGGCGGACCCAGTCGACACCGGGAAAATACCGCCCGTTTCCCACGTTGTCATGGTGGTATAATTTACCGGAATAATGCTTTTTTGTAAAAAAAACGAAAAAAGAAAGAAATCACACACTCCCTCCCAACACACTGAAAAAGGTTCTGCCCTTTGGGCCCCCAGAAAAAAAAACCCGATATTTTGGGGAAGATTATTTTACTGAGAACATGTTTAAAGGGCTGTTGCGTTATTTTGCTATCTGTGGCGGCTTCTTCTTCTTTTTATTTTGCATGTTCCTAATGGATACCGATGAGGCAAATTCTGTCTCTTTCCCCCTCCTCCACAGCAGGCACACACACAAAAGCGCCAGCAAATCTCTCCCATGGCCCCCCACCCAGCCCCCCAGCCGTCTGTAAAAAGGGGAAACAAACATTTCTAGACTTGCGGGAATAACAGAAAAATCAGGCCGGGACATGTTAAAATTTGGCTTCCAGTTCAAACGGATACTGCTGTAGCTTGTCGGTTTTTTTCCCTCGGAAAGATTTGCAGAACCAGCAATGATTCCTTCTTTGCTTTGCACTGGAGGGGGGGGGGGGACTCCAAAAATAAGGCTGCATAGCGCTGCGATGTATTTTGTTGCGTAACACCGTTTCAGGGATGGATGGATGGATGGACGGGGGGGGGGGCAGGTGAGGGGCGAAATGATGCCAACATGTTTATTATTTGAATCCTCTCCAATCCCAATAAACACCCCCATCACCCCCACCCCTGCATTGTACAAACCTGCAGGAGATCCAGCCGCAGATCCCGGGAAGGAGGAAGAGGATGGCGAAGAGGAAGAGGAGGATGGAGTCTGGGTAGCTTTCTTGGTTGATTTCTTCTCTTTCATCCAGGGGAATTCTGCGGCCAAAGGGCCAAGATGGTTTGGGCGCTGCTGGACCAGGCCATGCGTTGCTCTTTTTTGGCTTCTTGGTCTCGCCTGGTTGCTGGAACAAGGATTCAGGCTGAGGAAGGTTTGCTCAAAAGGAGGTGGAATTAATGTCGAGTCCTTGATTGATGAAGTTTGAAATGTCTCCAGGACAGCGGGAAGAGACGTCAGGCACTCTGCGAGCGAAGGCTGGCTATTTATAAACCCGATCTCCCTCTCAAATTCAAAATTCATGGCTTTTCCAGGGCCCAGTGGAAAAGGGAGGGGAGGTGGAGAAGGAGGAGGGAGGAAATCTTAGGGCCCCCGTTTTTTTTTTTATTGTTATTGTTATGATGACGATTCTCAGGCTTTTATAATTGTTATATTGCTGATAATACAGGCGTATGGGGACCTTGCTCTATTAAACTGGAGACTGAGCCGAAAATGCAGCCAATTCCTGGTCACATGACCAGCCTTGGCCAATGGCAGGCGGGGCCTGCTGGAAAACAGAAAGCATTATTTTCTTTAATAGATTAAAATAAAAATGGTCCTTCGGAAACATCCTTTCCCCCCCTTTTAGAAGGACTTGGGCATTTAAATAGGTTTATGCTGCAAAAGTGGAGATGACTGTAAGGCAGGGAAGGGTGGGAATGAGGGGAGGGTTTCCCTATTTAACTCTTTCCCTCCCTGGGAAAAGAGTGGCTGATTAGCACATTCTGGAAGACAGGCATAATTAAGAAGCGAGCTCATTACTCTTTTTAAAGTTTTGACAACGGATTGAAATCAGGACTAGAAAAGAACTTTCCTAAATTAAGGCAGAGGCAGTCTCCATTAACAGCCAGGGAAGACTAAACCTAATGAATGAGGCAAATTGGAATTTCAGATTTACCAATATCTGCAGTTGGGATTTTTAAAAAAGTTCAGGTCAGTATGAAAGTTTAATGCAGAGGTTTATTTTGGGGGGCAGCTAGAGGTTCTTAAGAACATTTTAGATCCTTTGAAGTCATAGAGCAAACATTAAAAGTTGACTAGAAAAATCTTAGCTTGTTAAATTACCTTAACCCCCCACTCCTAAGTGAGACCTAATGGATGCTTTAAACTTTGCTGCAAGAGGAAAGTGTTTTAAGGTCACTGATATCTTTGAAATCAGATTTATTGTCGCTAAACAGCTCCCCTTTAATAGTTTAGGGGAAAATAATTAAATTAAAAGTCATTTCCCAGTAAGATTGTTCTTTTAAAGCCAGCAGCTTCACACAAACCGAGAGAGAGAGAGAAACGATCAATCTTTTGTTCGAAAGCCTTTTGACAGCTGGGCCTTAACCAACTTACCAAAGAAATTTGGCTTTTATTAGAGTTATTGTGAGAGGAATTATTCGAAAACTTTAACCTAGAGAAGAGCAAAATAAGAAAGATTAGACAATGAACAATTCTGGGGAGGAGGGGAGAGAAAAATAATAAGGGATTCTGAAAGCTTAGAAGGTTTTTAGTGTGTTGGTTCAAACTCTATTTTCCCGAATCTTGTAGGAAAGAAGGGTTGGCAAACTGAAGTCATGCAGGCAGTAAAGCCTAGAAACTTTTGTCAGTTCAAACATCCGTGTGGGTGGTAAGCATTGAAAAAGAAACACAGAAATCTACAGCCAAGCCGAATTGCAGTGCAGCAAAAAGGAGAGGAAAATAAAACAGTGGGAAAATAGATGGCTGCAACCCGGACATGGACTTAAAGTTTGGGAGAGTATTTTTCCAAAACATTCATATCTGTTTGATTAGATTTCTGCTGATATCAGGAAAAAAGGTAAACCAACAAAAAAACAATTGGCAAATCCGAACGGAGATCAGAATCAAAACAATTTAAAATCTGGCTTTATTTGAATCTTAGTTTTAATAATAAAACAGGACAGCATTTTCTACTGCCTGGGAGACAGAATAGTTTATAAGAGGTGTGGGACATGCTGAAATAACTTGGAAAGTGACAATAGCTTCTTTCATTTTTTTCTTCTTCCTTACTAACACTAACGTTACAGCCATAAAACCTGTTGGGGGAACATTTTTTGCTCTGTATTTCACATGGAGTGATCAGATATTAAATTTTCTTCCTATTTGAAGGGGAAAGTCTTCTTTTCTTTTCTTAGAGAATACCTTACATGTATACTGAACATTAAAGGCAAATGCAAACTTTTTTTAAAGACAAAGACAAATCTTCTTATTTAATACAAGCATGTGCAAAATAAAACTGAGAACCTGGGGCGCTGCAAGGTGGGCCGGGGGGGGGGGCAAAAGAAACAACATCAGTCTGAGCCATGAAATGTGACATGGGTCTGTTGGTGGATTCACTTTCGCTTATTTTGAAACTAGTTCGGAGCATTTCGTGATACAAAATCGAACAATATGGCGCCCACTCTTTTAGATTCAGTTATATCTCCCAGAAAATTATATTGGGGGAAGACCCCAAAACCTTGAATGTTGTTATTTGATCTGATCTCAATCAAAGCTTCCGTGCAGTTGAATTGTAGTATCACCGAATCGTAAATTTCTTCCTGCATGGGTGGATATTATCCAGTTACAGTCCTGTGTAGAAAAACAAGTTTCTTCTTCTTCTTCTTCCTTTCTTTCTTTTTTGCTTATTTGGTTAATTATTATTGATGATTGCACAAAGGCTAGAATGACTAACCTGGCCTTTCATTTGTTAAAAAGAAATCAAAGATAAAATAATTGCTCATGTAAAGTCTTCATTCAACCATATATACATACACATACACAAAATGTGTGTATGTGTGTGTGTGGCCTAATCAAGAAGACTGTACATACAGGCACTACACGCCGCTAATTAATAAATTTAAGCCATTGTTTCCAACCGAAATGATGTTAGTATTTAGTGCCTTTCCATCTTTTTTTTCTTCTTCAAGAACAGTGTCAGCATTTCAGTATCACCTTGCCTCTCAGATCTTTCTCCTTGCTTATTGGTTACAGCAATGCAAATGGGGCGATTTTGTGTTGGACCGACAGTTTGTATCCAGTTCCAGCATCATAAAACTTTTATTGACCCACACAAGTTTTCTTAAGGCACTGGAGCATAAAAGACAAATTATCCAGAGCATTATCTTATATTTGCTTTTGCTTCTGCACATCTTTCCCTCCCTTTCCCTTTCCCTAGCAGTTTAACCCTAGCACAGCATCTCTCTCCCAGCACCAAGGTTTTATTCGTCTGCTTCTTCAGTGATTTAATTTCACTTCAGTATTAAAATTCCTCTTTGCCTTTTTGTGATTAATCATTTTCCTTTGTTTTCATTTTAGGCCCAATGGCTGTGTCGTTCGGATGACACGTGATCTCCTCTCTTTGTAACCTCCGAAGAGGACGGTGAACTTTAGTCTGCTTGGGAGAATTTTAAACAGGCTTCCAAGGGGCGAATGGGTGGGGTGAGGTGAGGTGAGGGAAATAGAGACTAATTATTAACTTTTTAATTAAATATTGTAGTCTAGGAACGTGTCAACGGTTTATAACCTGAGCTGTAAAACAAATAGGATTATAACCTGAGGGGTGCGCCATGGAGGAGAGACTATAGATATCCATCTATCTGTCTTTAGTCTCTGGGATATTTAAGCTTGTGTTTTGACTACTTGGTCTTTATTTTATTTTTGCTTTTAGATCCGACTAATAGGACAAGATCCAAATTGATAACAGAAAGTTTATTCAAGAATTGTTCAACAGACAACCCTTAAGCAAGGAAATAAAATAACTTCTATAGGAACAAAGAAAGATCTCCAAAGAGGAGGGGTGACGTGGGAGGGGGATTAGCTATAGTTCTTCTAATTCAGGACTATACAATTACAGTCTGGTTCTGCTCTCATGCCTCCAGTAGAACTAATTACATTATTCATAAGTACGAGGGTAACATAAAACTACTGGTCTTTCTAAATTACAATAACTAAAATAAGCTTGTTGTACAATGACAAGGAAACACAATGTCCTTTATAACAAGTAAATACTAAAAAAGTACACTTTGATTCTTTTTCTCATATAAATACATAATGTTGGGGATAAATAATACAAAAAAAGGAAAAATATTTTAAACTGGCTATAACCAATAAATATATATGAATGTTCACCAGAACACACAGCTTTTGAAAGACGTCAGGATTGAGTGGACGAACGCCCTTCAAAGTTGTTTTATACCCATTCAATGTAAACTCTAAGTGCAACAAAGATGTCCAGACAAGAAAGCATTAGCAAATACCAAAGGTCCATTCACTTCTGCTTCTTTTGGAGGACATACCGTTTGTTCAAAAATACCCTGTTTTCACGTTAAGTCAAGAGAGAAGGAGGAACAAAATGTAGGATTTCTAAGTCTTAAGATTGCTTTTTTGTTCATGAACCCTAAAACAAAAAACATGTAACCGAATGGAGACTTCACTTCATAAGAGGCAAAGGTTAAAAATATCCAGACCTGTCAACTTTCTCTTCCTCTCTTTGGCCTCTTTAAAAAAAAATAAAATATAAAAGTCAGCTTTGTTGCAGAAATGTGTTTCCAGAACCTTTGCAACTCTTAAATCTATTTGGGGACCGTGTGAAGAGGCGGAGGAAGAAAGGTTATATTTCCAAATGTTGGCAGATATGTATATTTTCAGCTAATGGGGTGGGGGGAGGAATTACTCAGCAAAAAAAGATGTTCTTCATCTCAAGAGTTAGACTGGAAAGGAAAAGGTAAGATTCTTTGGGGGGAGATTTGGAGGGTGTAGTTTTCTGTGAATCTGTTTAGATAAAAAAAATGTATCTGTTATTGATAGGCCAATTGTATAGATTTGGTGGGTTGACAGTATGCTGCCATTATCAATGTCCGAGGAATCTTTGTACTTATTCGTACCTTCTTTAAATATATCAGGTTGTTTTGGTTTTGTATCTTGCTAGATTTCCATAAAACTACCCCAAATATATTCAAAAGCATTTGTGTTGAAGCATTAAAAGGTATATCTATCTAGAGTTTAGATAGATAGATTAGATAGATGTGTATGGGGATAGATAGATAGATTAGATTAGATGAATCTTGCAAATAAATAGAATTAATCATCAGAAGTTGTGCCTAACGGGCTTAATAAAACCAGAAAAAGCCGAAAATGTCTCCACTTGAAGGGCTAACAAGACAGGCCACCAAACAAATATCTTAAGGGCTCAACACAAATGTTTCTGAACCAAATCCCACTGCGGATTCACTACCCCACTCCAGTGCTCCACAACATCCTCACGAGTCTGTCCTGCCCTCCCCCCAACCCACCCAGCCCTCACCCTATCACAGGTGGGTGAGTTTGGGCGCCTCTTGGATTCGGCCCTGAGAAGAGGCGTGGTGCGTGGAAAGGTCTGTGTAGGTTGGGTGGGTCTCACATGGTCCATGGTGCTGGCTGGTT